CCAGCTAAATTTGCATCCAGTCTTGAGTGCTTTTCCAGTTCTAATTCCTACCCCTAGCTGTATTTCCTTAGGAGCAGCCAAAGCACACTCCTGTATCCTCTGAGCCCACTTCGCTCCTTTGCTGCCCTTCAGGAAGGCCTCCCTTCCTTTGCCAAAGGCATCTTTCAAACCCATGGGGACTGCACCACACACACACACACACACACACACACACAAAACCAGCTCTACATTAACCAAGACCCAAGACAAACCAAAGCATGGGAACAGAAAAAGAGAGCCCTGTGTGGTAGTCAGCACCTGGAGCTAAACAGATATTCTACCCCTCATATTTTATTTTTTTTTTGTTAATTGTTGCTCTGGACATTTTTGTTTTATCAGATGGGGAAGGACACTCGAGACCCAGCTAATTTGTGTCTCTTGTCAATGGCTCTTTGTTTTCTTTTAGCTTTTTTTTGCCCCTTATTTTTTATCTGGCCCTATAATAATTTCTTTGTTCTCTTTGGTAAGCTGGTCACTCAGAGCATTACATCCCTGTCTTAAACCTGACTTCAGTACTGTTCATAACAGCAGCAGCAGCATCTGCTGGGGTAGCAGTGATGCATGGCCACCAAGGCTCCCTCTGCCAGGCACTGCACAAAAAATCATACTTCCTGCATCAACCAAACCTAGCTCTGCAGTAACCTGAAAGACTGAACTGCAGAAAAGAATGCACCTTTTTTACCTTACAAAACTAATAAAATGCTTTGAACTTTCCCCTGGCAGGCACTTTATTGCCCTTGTTCATGACGAGCTCTCTGTCCATACAAGCGGTGGTTCTCAGCAGGTGGATTGGGCACAGCTCTCCTGCTCTAGGGGACAGGAGCTTGTCTCTCCTGGGGATGATGGCTGGGCATGCCAATGGGTCTTGAGAGTGAAAAACACTCCCTGGCCTGTTTTTATAATTTTATGTGTCTGTAAGGCTTGGTGTCTCAGCAGTGCACAGCTTTTAATGGATTGACTCACCCCAGCATCCCTGTGGAGCAGGGAAGTACTGTTAAACCCCTGGGTCTGAGGGCAGAAGCAGACTCATGGAAACACTAAAAGTGGTACATGGCTGCAGAGAAGCCTTCAAGTCCCACAGCCCTCTTGTTTCTTAAGCTCCTGCCCCAGCCTCTGGGCTTAAAGCTGGTGAGGATGAGCCAGCCATGGAGATGTGCCCCTGGTCTGGTGAGGATGCTGAGCTGCCCAGGACCACATAAGGCAAGACAGGGGTCACCTCCTCTTGAGCTCTGCAGCTGAGATGAAACCCAGCCTATTGAGGCTGGGCATGCATCAGGCAAGCCTGGTTCAGAGAACAGGATCAGGCTTGCACTTAACTTGACCCTGAGGGACTTGCAGATGCTTAGGCAGGCACATGGCTTCTCTACCCAATACGTTTTGACTTACTGAGACATATGAGGCCTCAGGGTCTCTCAGTGGCTAGGCGTCAAATCCATACGGATAGTTTTTGCAGAGGAAATTGGTGGGGTCAGGAAGAGTGGAAGCTGCTTGGTGCTTTACAGACACATTGCCTGAAGTTCCTCTCCTGAGAAAAACAGAAAGCAGCTCAGCACCATGGATTTTCCATTTTCTCCATTCCAATTTTTCTATTCATTTTCCCCACCCATGTGTTAAGAGGGAGATGATCAGTCACTCAGCTACTGGGTCATCTGTCTCTGTTCTTGAATCATGTCCATTACTATGGTGTCAGGGACCACAAATAGAGAGAATCTGTGTTCATTAATTATGGCATTATATGAAAATGCACTGTTTCATCAACAATCCTATTCTGAGATAATTTTTATGAGTGATATCATTACTTTGATACCTGAATAACTGGACCTTTTGACAAAGCACCTTCAGGTTTCTAGAGCCAGCTCCCAGGCACTCGGCTGAAGTCCTTGAAGAGCCCTGTGCACCTGGTGTGGGGATCTGCAGCTCCCCACCAGTGTGCAGTGGGTGGTCCTGCCCTAAGACACCCAGCTGCAGTGAGCCCTGCCCTGCCCAGAACCTGGCGATGAGCTTTGCTCCGGCCAGTGGCCAGACCACGGCTCCACAGGGCAAGGATGGATCCAGGTTGTGAGGCTTCAGCTGTGTTTATCCCAGCCTGTTTTTTCTCCCAGCTCACCTCCCACTGACACCTGCACACCTGTGTGGAGGGAATATTTGTGCCTTTCCCTGCTCCAGGGCACTGACAGCAGAGCTGCTCAGGGCCCTTTACCCACTCAGGGTGGGGCTGGAAAGCTGAGGGAAGATGAGGAGGCAAAACCTACTCATGTCCTTACCTTAATTGTTATTCTCCTTGCTGAATTTTCTTCGTCCTCATTATTGCCACTGGTAGGAAAAATTATTTTCTTGCATACAACTGCTTAAAAGCAAAAGGAAAACTCAGCAAAATGAAAAGTAGTACCACCACCACCAAAAAAAAAAACAAACCAAAAACCCCAAAACCAAAACAAAACAAAAAACCAAAAACCCACACAAGAAATCTGGGACTCATCCACTCTTCTGTTAATTAGCCCTAAAAAACCAATAAAATCAGAAAGCAAAGAAAAGGCCGATGAAGGTAATTGAGCTGGGCTGCTGTAAAAGCAGGAGCTGTGGGAAACAGGGACATGGCTGCAGACAACATCACCTTGTAGAAAGCCCAGACTTCTGAGGTCTGCCTCTCCCCTGAGTCCTATTTTGTGGCAAATCATAGTAGATGGTGTAATTATCACAGCTGTGCTTTAGACTGGTTTAAGAGGTTGTACTTTCCCAACTGCCTTTGGAGCACAACAGCAGTGGCAGGCAGATTCCTGCCAGCACAGCTCAGCTAAATCCACCAAAACAAGCAAACAAGCCTTCTGGAAGAACTTGCTGGGTGGTTTTTACTGGATGCTTGTTTTCAATGACAAGTTTCTGAGGAAAACAGTAGCATTTTAAAACCTACATGTACAGCCAAGAAAGCTTGTGGACTTTTCCCTCCTCCTCTCCAGCAAATACTTTGCTGCCTCTTTTACAATGCCATTTCTATTGACGTAAAGCAAAGATAAGGAATGTTTGCCTGTGCTGCCTTGCTCAGTTTTCCATGTGTGGCTTCTGGCTGATTTGCCATGTGTCCCTGCTGAGGTTTCAATCCATTTTCAACTGAAAGCGTCTGGGCTCTTGCTTGGCTTATCATGCCGACACAGCTGGCAACCCATTAATCTCCTGTTCCCAATGCCTTTACTTCAGTGGGAAAGCTCTGGTACTTTTCAGTGGTTTGTGTTTACAGCTAACAGAGGCTGGTGCTTAAAGCCCCTAGGTCACTTCTCCACATCTACCAGAGCTGGGAGAAGTACAGCATTTTTGTCCTTCTTGCTCTAACACTCTCTATCAAAGTTATAGAGACCCGTAAAGCAGCTAGAGAAGCAGGTTTGAAGCAAGGATCACATTATCTACCAGTAATGCTTTGCCCTTGTTCACATCTTTAGTCTGAGGGCTTCAAGACATCTGCAAAGTACCTTCTCAAACACTGACAAACTGAGGCTCAGTTTGCACTCAACAGTTTTGCTGTAGAGTTTTGGGTTTTGGCACATGAATTCTGTCTGCTCCTTCCCTCCCCAGCTAAGGAAGGACACTAGTCTGTCAGAGTTATCCAGCAAAGGAGTCCTTGGAATTTCATTCTGTTCAGAAAACTGTTTCAAACCAGACTGGTGAAAACATTACTTTGTGAAAGGAAACCGTTCTGGAAGGGTCTGCCTTGTAGAGCCTTGCTGATAGTACTGTTTTGGAAAGTCTTTTTTCAAAACACAGCTCCAATGGACTAGAACTGCAGTTTCTTGGGCCCAGCCCTGTATGTTAGTGAGGGAGTCCTAGGAACAGACAGGATGCTTGAAAGGGAAAAAAAACCCTTCTACTGTCCCTGGTTTCTATGTCTGATTATGTGTGCCTATTACGGTTGAAAAGTGCAGTCCTGAAAACTTGTGAATAGGAAGTATGAAAAGAGAAATGCAACTGTATATCTGCTTTCCAGTATCCCAAACCTGCTCACAGTTCTCTCCCAATGCAGATTTCAGGTGGGGTTGAGCATGGTGTGCTGAGAAGTGCCTGCTCTCCCCAGCTATGGCTGCCAGCAGCAGGGACAGGGGATGGACATAGCTGGCTCAGCTAAGCTGGAGATCAGGCAGGCACCTGAGAGCCTCCACATACAACCACCTGAGCCAGGACAGTGCTGGTTTGGATGGCAGGGTTTGCTCTGCACCAAGTGAATCCTGTTCTTTGATTTCCTGCCTTTGTGTTACCATGCAGCACAGAAAAAGCCATGACTTTTGCTCCTCTGCAAAGCTTCCCTGGAGCTGTGGATGCTTTCCTGCAATTCCTGCCCTCAAAGTCGGGCAGCTATCAGGGAAGAACATCTTGCTCACTTTCAATAAAACTAACACTTGCATTGGCTTGTTCCAAGCCTTTCAATCCCCACCAAGGACATCCTAGCAACTGCTTTTGGAAAAGATTTTTAAATGTGGAAAGGGAAAAGGCTTTTCAGCAGTGGCTATGGGGTTCTTCCAAGTCTGATACCAAGAGGAAGTGGCTGGCTCCAAAAGAGATAACACTAAGACCAGTTGTTTTTCAGACTTTCAGAGTAACCAGCTAAAAATGCATGGGACAAACTGTCTGCAAAAGCAGATCAGCACAGATATATTGGCTGGGCCAAGCTTCCAGGAGTGGGAGGGTGAAGAAGCAGTCATGGGAGCGTCCAAGATCCAAGATCTCTCTGCTCTCCTTACGTCCCAGCATTGTTAACAAAAGTGAAGGGTCCCATTAGGAAGCTGGTTTGACCCCTCATACAAGGATGTGTATGGCCCAGTGAGAGGTGTCCCTGGGGACACCCCACAGTGGTGGATTTCCCCTGGGAGTATTGATGAGCTCTGATCACTCTGTTCACTCTGGCTGGTGGCCATTTCAGCCCAATCCAAACATATTTTACAAGTACCATATCACCCAGCATTATAAGACTTTTTAGTGTCCTGGCTCACTATGCCTAGGGGACACATGGAGTGATCATTGTCTTGCATTTCCATTCCTCTCACAGTGTTTGCACTTGGGTTTAAGATGTCAAAAACTTCTCCCTCACTGCTGACTCCCTCCCTCTGCACTCACTGCTCTACGCCACCAGCCTGGGTTGCAGCTGCCTCTTCCCAGTTCCCCAGTCAGGTCTGATCGCATCATCCACTGTCACAAATCATTTGCAAACAGGGACCTTATTCCTACACACAGTCCTGCACCTGAAATGCAAAGACATATCCCTGCACTTACTTTATCCATGTAAAAGTGTCAGCATTTTTAGGTCTGGCCAAGGAAGAGTCCCTGGTCCAGAGACAAACTCTGCATCTCCAATTGCATAGGTGGAGTCTCCCTGGCACCTCCCAGCTCTTTCTCTGAAGGTCTGGGAGACCAGACCTCTTAATCTGTAGTGCCATAATGGGGGACATTGTGGGAAAGAAACCCCAGGTCTGGCAGGCTGCTCTGGATGTTGACTCCTCTATGAAGCAGTCCTGAAGCCTGAGACTCTGGCAGAGTGAGGAGCTTGGGTATGGCTTGTGGGTGGGGTGCACAGAGTGGGACAATGAATTTTGGTGCACACAGACTGCTGGGGTTCATCCCCATTCAAGGAGACTTTGGATATTTAACCAGTGTGAAAACAAAACAGATGCATCTTTACATTCTTTACATCACCCTGTAAAGAAAACTGATAAAGGCTTTTTAGCCTGTCTAAAAAGGAAAATGTTTGTTGTACAGAAAATACCTCTGAGATAGACAACTTCAGGAATACAGATTAGATCACTGAAGACTGGGGTAGGAGTGTATATGGGAGATGCTGGACTACAGTCCACTTGGGCATGAAGGCCATGGAGGTCTATCTGCCTCTGTGGTCACATGAAGATGTCCATAAATACTGCATGTCACCTCAGTTCCAACATGGATTGAAGAGAGTTGTCACATCAGGGATGAGATCAGGGCTGGAGCAGGAATCAGCAGAGGCAGCCAGCAGGGTTTCTTCTGGGGAATGCTACAACTGTCAGGAAGGCTGTTGCAGAAAAGTTACTCACTAGTTGCTCTAACAGGGAAGGGAATGCATAGGAGAAAGGAAAGTTTTCCCAGCTGCTGGAGAGAACCCCTAAAGAATAGAAGCATGGCAGACTAGGATTTTGACAGCTGTATTGGGAGTCTACCTGGGGAACTAGTGGGGTTATGCCAGCTAAGGAAAACTAATAAGGGGATTCACCTGTTGGCTGACAGGCAGTCTGGCAAAGAGTACCTGTGCTGCAGATACCATGACTGTACCCAGTGCAGGCAGCTCTGCTCTGGCTCCTCAGAGATGTGTCCAAACTGTGCTGTTGTTTCTCTGCTCAGCTCTCTCCTCCATCACTCCCACCAGTCCCACCAGTGTGCAGCACATTATCCAAGCATGTTTTCTTCTCCTTCAGCTTAGTCCTTGGACTTCCTCCCTCTCCAGGTTGTCTCTGTAAATGGGCCTCCTGTGGCAGAAACAGAAGAATAGTTATAAATCCCAGTGAGCAGAAGGGCAGTGAAATGCAATATTCTCCAAGGCAGGGACAGTTCCATCATTCAGATGTTTGGCAAACTGGTATCTTTGTTATTTTTCTTACCAAGACATTTATCTGTCACCACCTAGGTCTTATCCAGTGTTTCCCCAGCAGTGCCCAGGTGACCTACTGGGTCCACTGCTTGATCCCTGCTCTGAGCTGGCAGGGAGAGCCCTGGGCAGAGCTCCCAGCTCTGGCGTACCCAGAGGGATTGGGGCAGCCCCAAGGCAATGAGAGGCTTACATGACAAGCAATCGGTGACTGTCACACAAAATCAGGACATGCAGTGCTTTTCAGCATCTGTGACCCCAGATCAGCTGAAAAGGATTTTGAAAGTGAGATAAAGGGCTCACCTCCCACCGTGGTTCTCCTGCAGAGGGATCACAGATAGGAGGCTAGGGTCAATTTGTTTTCTGAATTAACTAGGAATTGGGGAGCCTTGAAGCAATTATGCTTTGTTTTGGTTTTGTGGGGTTTTTTTCCCAGGTTTATCTCAACAACAGGTTTGTCTGTGAGTTTTTGGTACTCTGCCCTAAATTCAATCATAACTTAGCTGGCAGGGTGGTGAGAATTTATTGTGTTAATGATGTGTGCTACTTACTGATACTATTCCCCAGATAATGAAAACTTCCCTGCAATCCATACATAGGGCATGAAAATGTTACTAAAAAAAGCTCTGGCAAATTGGTATGATTTTTGAAACTACAAATCAAATATACAAGTACCAATATTTTGTACTTCTCTAGCCCTTTTCCCTCACAGTTCTCATAGAACATCCTCAAAGGCACTTCTCTAGAGTCAGAGCAGGTCAGAGCAGTCCTTTATAAAAGCTGCCTTTTCTTTCCTGGTTTGCTGTCCTTTCTTTGCTCTCTCCCTCCTTTCCTATTCTTTCCCTTTCTTTTCTCCCCAATTCTCCTGCCAATGATCAGCTCAGTTGAATTGCTGGGGTCCAACTCTTTGAAAAATGAATGGAGGCATCAAAGATAGATGTTTTTCCAAATCTTGGGGCTGCTCTTCTTGACAAAGATCAGTATCTTGGTGACAGTCCTGCAGAGCAGGCCATACCCTTCCCCTGAACAAGCAGCAGTCCATCACATCATGTTCAGAGCATGCTGCCTCACTCCCTCACCTCTTTCCCTGTTAAGCTTTTCAAGTTTCTGCAAGAAAAGAAGAAAAGAAAGCTTTCATTCTCCAAGGCAAACATCCAGTTCATATTTTTTGTATCATGGGGAAAATGATAATCCAGGGTATAACAATGACCTACTTCACGTCCTGATAAAATAATTTCCTCTCGCTGTCCTTTTTCTTGAAGAATAATATTTGATTAACATGAGCATGTAGGATAGAGCAAGAGTTTTTTCTGTGAACTGGCTGATAATGCGTCAAATTCAGCCCAGAGACAGACAACTGCCACCCTGTTGACCTATGTGGAGTTAAGCCTGTTTATCCCCTAGCTTAGAGCTCTGAAAACAATTGGGTTCAAACCTGTAAGATGTGTGCATGTGATAGGATTGAGGCCAAAAGCTCAGAAACAGGGGCTATCTGTTACAGCATCCCTCCATCAATGCCCCCTCAGCCCACTGCCACCACGGCTGCCCGGGAGCTGCTCTGACTTGCTGCTGCAGTGCAAACGGGCCCCCCTCTGCAAAACAACCGGTTAGCTCATCCTCTTACACAAAAGGCTACTGTACTGAGCAGGGTACATTACAGTATAGGCCAACCATGCAGCTCTGAATCCACTCACACCCCCTTCCCCAAGAACAGAAACAATGCAGACTCTTATAGCTGTCCCACTGCAGCCTATTTAGCTCAATGCATCAGCTCTACTTGTCTGCTGAAGGTGTTTAAAAATGTACATGTGGCATTTTTTGCTTGCAGCATTGCATGAGGAGATTTTTCACATCATCTTTCAGTGCCATTCAAATGGATTGTCACCCAGTACATATTGTCTGCCCTCTCATCTCCCACCTACGGGAGTTTTCCTTGTGGTTGTCCATCTTTTGTCTTAATGAGTTCTCATCATGGCATTGATCCAGGACATAAATTTGCCATTTGCCACTGCTGGTAAGGGATGACGTGGCTTGCACATTCTTGTGCTCTCAGTTGGGCCACATCCTGGTGTGGTGTCAGAGATTGCAGTGCATCTATTCACCTTCTCTTTGCCCAAACCAGACAAAATGGACAGAAATTCATCTGCTGTCATGACTTCGTCATGTCAGGACACACTGCCCAAGATGGCCAAAGCAAAGCAACTTATAATCTTTACTGCGTTTATTGACAGCATACTTACTGTATGCTGACTTCCAGCATTGTATGACATTCCACAGTCCTAACAAGGTACCTGATTTATGAGATGCTGCTGAGAATAAAAGGTAGTTAAAATATAATTATAGTGCTCCTTTTATTTCTTTCCTTGCATAAATGTGGTATGAAGCTAGTCTGGTCTATTGACTTTTCTCCAGTTTCTTGTTCCCTGAGGTGGAAAGCTCCTCTGGATTTCAGGAGATGGAAAACTGCCAGCTGTGGGCTCTGGCAGAAGGGTAACACAAACCTTGGCATGGAGATGGAGACTCCTCTTGACAGCTCTGCTCCTCAGGCACAATGGGCCTTTCTATCAAAGCTCACGTGTGCGGGAGACAACTTTCTTGGGTGCTGCTCAGAGCCTGAAGAATGAACTCCGAGGGAACTAGATCCTGAAAAGCTGTACCTCTTCCCAATGGGCATGCCTTTCCCCAGCAATGCCTTGTCTTGTGCAGAGACGCAGCTAGGCATACACTGGGAACCACGCAGAATAAAAATGAAACACTGGGCTGCAAATGTGGCTCTGCCCCCTGCACAGAGCAGTAGGGAGGAAATGCACCAGAAGTAACAGTATCCAGTCTCCATACTCAAAGAAGTACACCAGAGATGACTGAAGATATTCCTTGTTTTATGCAGATCCTGACAACCTTCAGAGTTCCACTGAAAAGCAGCTTGTTTTCAATTCAGAAGAAGGGACACAAACCTCTGTGCAATTAATCCATTTCCCTTTTGTCTCACTTTAAGGAAAAGGAGAACCTGTGGAAATTTTTGGTACTGGGGTTGGTACCTAACTTTGCTCAGGGATGTGATTTGTCACCTGCATCACTCTAATACTGAGCTTATACTGTTGAAAGAGCATCGCCACTCAAGATGTTACCACACCACAGATATCTCTGAGCTCCCTCACGTTAGAGCACAGCAGCCACGCAGTAGTCTCAGGCTTTTCCACGGAACACTTGCTGGGCTGACGGCACCTAATACTGAATTAAACACTGTGATTTTGCAGCCAGGTGGCCGTGGAGCACGCTTGCTGTAAGGCTTTGCTATGGAGGCAGCAAGCCCAAGAACAAGTGTGGCAACAAGCTGCCATGGAGGTAACTTTTCAAACAGCTGCAGCTGTTTGCAAAGCAAGCCTGCAATGCACGCATAATTTTTCCCTTTCCCGACAAGAATAAGCCCAATTAGCATTATCTTGGCACAACTGCATCCATACTCTAGGGAATTAGCTGCGGTATATTGTTAAAGCAATTCAGCTTTTCTAGGTAGACAGGCTATAATTACACTAAATTAAAATAGAATGCTTTTGTTCTAACTTTGGCTTCTCCACAAGGAATATGTACCAAAATAACCAAAGGTATGAACTAAGCCATTTCTGCTACTTAACTATAAGCATGAGTGCAGGCAGTCCCATTCCAGTCCTTCTGCCTCGGCAGAGCTCAGCTATCTGGGTGATCTCTCACAGGCTTCATCAAGGAGTGATAAATGTATGAAAGCACCCAATGGGAAAATGTGTCTTGGTTGTAGCTGGGTGCCCTGTGATGGCTCTCTCCGTGGCTAATTCCATATGTGACAGCACCATCTTTGTTCACTTAAGGGAAGGGAATTCTGCAGGACTGGGACATCCCACTGGAGGATCAATGGCCTCTATGGGCCTTGAGCATGAGGGTGGCACTGAGCCTCTACGATCTGCTGAGCTGGCATGGGGCTCCAGGGAGATGTTTTTCCATGTATCTTCAATAGTATGCACAATGTATCAAACCTGGATTTTTTGCGGCTGTGTTCAGCCAGGGGGGACCTTGTCTTTGGCTCTGCTTCAGAATGTCCCAAACGTCTCTGTGCAAAGAGCCATAGCCCTATGGAGAACCACAGTGACTCTTCCCATGGAAGAGGCCAGGGCACTTAGGCAAAGATCAGCTGCACAGAGCACTTTTTTCCACGAGACATGAACTTTTGTTGGTTAGACCACACCGCTCCAGGGTTTAAAGGATCGGGAAGATGTCAGCTCCAGTGACCACGGGAAATACAGATGGGCCATGATGGGCAGCTATAGCACGTGCTGCCTCACATGGGCTTCCACTTCACTGAGGGAAAGGGGAAGCAGCACTTCAGGACTCACTGGCAACTCAGCGATGCTAAAAATGGTAAACTGAAATCTCAACTCTGACATAGACTTATCAGCACTGATTTGGGTAAGTTCAGATACATGCACTTGCTGCCTGTCAAATGAGACATCCCAGATTCTTCAGGTGGTGCGGTTCATATTTGTGTAGTACTTTTAAGGTTCTCATAAGAAAAGAGTTAATAACGTTTCCAATCGAGAACAGAGCCAGGCTATTCATCAGCCTTCCTTTTTCAGTGTTTTACTTCAAAACCTTCCATGGCCAACTTATTTCAAAGGCGCTAAAAATGAGGTGGCCCCTTTCCCACAGCACACGGCCCAGTTTACCCCTCCCCAAGCTTGCAGGTGGGAGCTCTCTCAGCGGCTTCCACGGCAAACACGCCGAGAGCACCGGCCGGAGCTTCAGGGCTCTCCCGCGCTGCCAAGCCCGACGCGCTGCCCCACGGCGAGGCGAGCGCTGCCCGGCGGGGCCGGGAGGGCCCTCACGGCAG